TCCTGAAATCCAATCGGGTTTCAGGAAAAACCACAGCGCAACAACAGTTCTGGTTAACATCACTGATGACTTAATCAGATGTGTGGATCAAGGAAATTTAGCATGCTTAGTGTTGCTTGATTATACAAAGGCTTTTGATACCCTGGAACCATCTATTCTTGTGAAAAAGCTTATATACTTTGGTTTTTCGGAATCTGCAATTAATTTTGTATTGAGTTATTTCACTGACAGGAGTCAGATGGTTGTGATTGGATCAAGTATCTCGGAGGAGATACCAGTTAAACTAGGTGTACCACAGGGTTTCATTATGGGACCATTATTATTCTCAATTTACATTTCTGACTTCCACGAGTACGTTGAACACTGCAGTATTCATCACTATGCTGACGACACTCAATTGTACTTTGGCTTCGATATTAAAGATTTAAAAAATGCCGAACATTTGATTAATAATGATTTAATAAATTTATCTAACGTATCTTGTGCCCATAATCTGCAAATTAACCCGTTAAAATCATCTGCAGTTATATTTGGACCAAAAATCAAAAAAAGTCGGGCAAAACCATTGCGCATTTTAGATCAACCGATCCCTATAAAAAATGAGTGCAAGAATTTGGGACTCTGGATTGATTCTGATTTGAGGTTTGAAAAACCCGTTAGTCAACTGTGCCGAACATCATTCGGCGTCTTGAAGCAATTATTTCCTCATAGGAAAAGTATGAATACTGGTCTGAAGCTGAAGTTGTGCGAAACCTTAATATGGTCTAGAATTCACTACTGTGACTGTATTTATGGGCCTGCACTAAGATCGATTGAGATAAGGAGACTTCAGACTATTCAAAATGCGTGTCTCAGATTTGCTTGTGGAGTGAGAAAATTTGAGACAGTGTCACATAAATATCGTGAACTGGGTGTTAAAAAAATAGAAGAGCTACAAAAAATGCATGTATTAACCTTGACCCATAAGGTAATCACAACACAAGCCCCTCCATATCTATCAACCAAATTTATCAGATACTCAGATGTTAATCAACTGAATACAAAGAATAAGCATATTTTGGTTATCCCGAGACATTCAACATCTCTATTTAAAAGGTCGTACGTATATACTGCTATCAAGCTATACAACGCGTTGCCTACCGAGTTCACTCACTACTCTATAAAGAATTTCAAAAAAATATTGAAGAATTTTATATCTGATTCCATTGCCCAGTAAGTAGACCATGGCCATGAATAAGGACTCGTTACAGGTTTTTTTTTCAACTCTTGTTTTCATTGGGATTAGAAGATATACATAAATATTTGTTGGGTTAAGTTGAAAAACGCTTTTTAGCGACACCTCGCCTTTTTATACTTTGTATAAATAAAGCCGGATTATTATTATTATATTTTGATTTCTGTCGTGTTAACTGCTTGTTTTCAGAAAAAAACTCTTGAGCGGTTTGTTAATCGGGGCTGATGGTTGTAAGTGGAGGGGAGTTGTACTTTTGGTACCAGCAAAAGACGACATTGCTGCACTGGTACACAATCCGGCCGACTCGGCTGCTGGTTCCATTGTCAAAATCAAAAGAAACCCACTAATATCGTACGCATAATGGATTTTTAGCTATCAGGGATTGTCTCATCTGATAGTTTTCTAGTCGGTCCTTGTGATAACGTATGTGTACAAAATTTCAAAAGTGATTTACAAACGAGCATTTGCTAGCAGAATGTTTTTTTATTGACAAAAAGCTGCCGTCTAGTATTAAGAACGGTAACGCGTAACTTGAGCTCTGCCGATCGATAGTTTGTTCAGTTTTAATCATGGCATCCACAAGTAAATACGGTAAATCGAAACGAGCGTGCAAGCAGTGTAAGTGCAACTTTTTTTCGTCAAAATACCCCTTGCTTCATTCTTTTAAGAGTATAAATAGTTAAACAAAATGTAACTTTAATAACTTGTGAAGTTACTTTTAACTTGCATGGGATAAAATCGGTCAAAATTTTAAAAACAGTTTATTGGTGCACATATAATGTATGTGTACACTAGGATTTAGTTCAATAGGAAGCTAAAAACATTTTGTGTACACTTGTTCCCTTCCGTTTTCAACTGCTTGTATTCGCAAAACCTAAATGAAAAAAATTTTTTTTTGTAATCTAGAATAATATTCATTTATTACAAGAAAGCACTGTCTGATGATGAACTTTTAAAGGGTTCGTGTATTTGAACATTTTATGGATATGACAATCGTAAATTGTTGGATTTAATTCAAAAAGGACTGTACATTTTCTAAGACAGCGATCACAGGCCAGTTAGATCTTCCTGCATTTGAGTTGAGGATAGCAGAATGTTACCGGATCAACTAGGCAAACTCTAAACAAAATCAATGCCAACACAGAACCTGAAAGTGATGACGTGGCTCCACCTTCAAAAAAGCCAAGAGGACGTCCAGGCAAAGTAACCGTGCCTCCTCAAGAGCGGCGCCCCATGGAGCTTTGCATTTACCGGAAGCACTCGATGTTCCTCCAGCTCCCCGATGTAGAAATGCAGGTTGTACTCACAGATCTCGAATTAGGTGTACAGTTTGTAAAATATTTCTATGTGTAATCAAAGAAAGAAATTGTTTCAAATAATTTCATAATTAAAATTATTTGGAGCTTATTTTTCTTGTATAACCTGTTAAAAATGTGTGTTCGTTTTTTCAATAAAATTTAAAATGAATGTTTCCTTAAATTATTTATATGTAACATTTTTACTGCCGGGTTCGCGAGTCCATTTGTGTACTTTTTTTATTGCCTTCATATAATGCTTACGTCCTAGTGTGCACATATGTGCACCAAGTTTAAGAGTTATCTAGATGTTATTTTGAAAACTAAACAAATAAAACTGATTTTTGGATCCCCAATAACACGTACGTACATAAAAGCCGGAGATTGTCCACGCATGCGCTTCTCAGGACTGACGAGGATATGATGATGCCTCATTACGTAATCAACTGATCTGGTGTAAATGACAGTTCCACACTATTCGAAAGTCCATTGTTAGAACGATTCGAATATTCATCCTTAACCGCCATAGTGCGGTCACTAAGACTGCAGCACATATTTATTTCTATATATCTTACCACTACTTCAATATAATTAGACAATATCCTCGCTACCTTCAAGTAACCACGTGGTCAGTTTGCGCTAAAAATTGAAGGTGGCACTTTTATCGGTTTGCAATAGAAAAACGACAAAAGTTACAGAGCGGTCACAGTAACCAGTCTACGGTGTCTATGTTACTATATCTATTAAGATTTTTGTATAGCCAGTGTGATTTCCTGTCAACTTTGTGGATTATTTTTGGCAGTACAGATCCTCAGGAATGAATCGGGTTTCCCAATAGGGATGATAGGATTTTGACAGCATACTGCCGCCATCTCAGTTGTCTATTTTCTGACAGCTGAGTTATTTTGTGTTCAGTAAGGCAGTTTGGAAATTGTCTAAATATGCTATCAAAGTTCGAGAAGTGTTGTCGCTACTCAAAGAGCATATCGTGCTAAATATGGTCGTCATGGTGCACCGTCTCAGCTCGATAAACGTCGCATAATTAAAAAATTGAAAAGTAAATATTCTTTGCACGATAGTAGACTACCAACTAGGATGCGATCTGGACGTAGTTAGCTGATATTTGTAGTGTAAATGCACATGTTCTTTATCAGTCGTTCAAAAATAGCACAAAGATCGAAAAAGAAGACTTTCTAAAAATTCTTGCTGATCAATTGGTAAGACCCCATCTTATTAGGAGTGCAGAAAATACAAAACTAAAGCGTGACATTCGGACTACAATTCGTAGAATTCTATCATTCCCTGGCCGTGCTGAAGAGGATGTTCCGGAGGAAAAATTATAAGAAAAGAAAAACATGACACACTTGTCCACCAAGAATTACAAGAAAAACTTTTTATTTATGTAAAATGTGCCATAGCCTACTTGTTTGGAGCATTCGTTAACAATTTGTAAAAATTTTAAACACAATCTTTGACTTTTTCACTCCTTTTATTTTTTTATTCCTTTCAAGTTATCACTCAAACTAAGTTATGTCTCAGTGGACAGTTTATTCATATTCTAGAATCTGTTACTAATTCCGCATAGAATATTGTGTTTTGTTTTATAGCTATCTAAGATAAGGAATTTGTGTAAAAATATGTCGAAATGAATGATGTTCAATGTTTCTATTTTTTTAAATGAAGTTTGGTAAAAATTATATGTTATGTGTTACTTCAGGCCTCATACTGCTCTGCCTGAATATTCACTACACGCAAAATATTTTATTTTTTCACTGAGACCGCACTACGTTAATGACGATACCCTTTCAGCCCTAGGATAGTTAAGGGTTAACAAAAGCCATCACTGTAATTTTAAGATGGATCCACGCAACAAGGAGGCATGAGGTTATCTCTTGTTTTTTGTAATATTCCAGACACATCACCCTCATCCATCGCTTTGAAAACGCCAAATGTAGCACCGAAAACGCGAAAGCCAACTAAAACGTGACACACCGGTTAATTGTTATGCAATCTTCGACTACGAATGCTACATGAACCTGAAATGCGAAAAATAGTACTTAGGTATCTAAAGGGAAGCATGATGATTGCTTTGTATGGAAACAATATAGGGTCTTAAGATGGCGAAGTGAGACATACCTGATAGTAAAACCGCCTATGATCAATCAGTTACGCTTGAGAATAGTTATTAGATATTTCCTTCAAGTATACTCAACCAAATTGTTTGCAGATAATTGTCGTGTTAGACGATTTCAGGACATGGTACTTCTTGCATAATTTACAAAAAACGGCACAAGCCTAATGAAGGTGGAACTTTCCACCGGAAAGTGTATTAGTATGTTGTAACAGCGTTGTCATTTTGGTAGGCAATGTGTGTCAAATTTAATCAACCTGTATGCACTAAAACCACGTCATTAGTAAACAAACGGTATTTTAAACATACTCGTATGTGGTTTCATTTAGCGACCAGACATGGAGGAGTATCAGCATAAAAACCACATGATAAGTTTCAGGTGTTACATCAGCACCTAAGTACTAGTGTGTAGTAATTTCGACTATCCAGTAAGATGAGGAAAATCGGGATTTGTTTCGGTAAAACGTTCCTCAAGCAATGGAAATCCTTTCAAAAAAGATGTAAGAATGAATTTTTTTATTAATATGGGAATGCTTTAACAAAGTGCTTTATCTTATATAATATTAACATATGGATGGCAGACAGGAAATCTCAATAATTATTCATGAATTTTATAACGGATATGTTTGTGAGATTAGAGCAACCCCAAATATCCCTCAAAGGGTCTATCATCGTAATGCATGGAAGATCGTTGATCAGGAAATTAATTCAGATGGTGTTAGATGAGTTATTGAATATTTGATGGAGATTATACAGGGTGTTTCAGTTTATTGTTGCATAAGTCTAAGATTCGATAGAACTTTTAAAATCAATGCATAAAGTCTATATAAACATGGGTCGAAAAATGCGTGGCTTCCGAAATACAGGGTGTTTAAATTTAGTTTTTTGAAAAGTTTTTTTTAAATATTTCGAACAATATTTGATGTATAACAGTGAAAATTGGTATACAAGGGTTTTTTGGTACGACAAAACGAACCATGGCATAGTTTTACTGCCGCTAGAGGGCGCTCTCTACTGAACCTGTAGTGTAATAAAGTGACCGAAAATTTTTTCTTAGTGCAATTTTTTGCTTTTTGAGTAAAAAAATGATTCTTCGCACTTTTCGTCATAAAAAAGCTCTCCTGTGAATTTTCGTTATAGTTAGCCGTTTTTGAGATATTTCGATTTTTAAGGTTCGATGTATTTTTAATTATTTATGATAAAATAACGTTAAAAAGTCAGTATCTCGATAATTTTTAGAAGTAGGCTGTGCCTGCAAATATTTTTGAAATTGAAAGCAGAATAAGGTTAAACGTCAATTAGTTGACAGTTAGTTTTGTTGTCTGTTGAAACCTGAAACGTTTTTTTGCAGTTATGAATGCTCGAAATTTAGTTTCTTTTACCTGCTTTTTGTTTTGTAAGTTTTATAAAAATGCCATTTTTATTCTCCAATCAAGAGTTAGCGGATATTCATTTTGTGCATGGCTTTGTAAATGGAAACGCAGCAGAAGCAGCCAGAGAATACGCACAAAGATTTCCAAACAGACGACATCCAACTCGCTCAGTATTTGTTTTATTATTTATTTTATTTATTATTGCATCGCCAAATAATTGAAAATGGTTTTGGAAATCTCCAAAGGGATCGAAACATAAATGTTTCAGCGCAGATTTACCCATATGATTCTGCGTGAGTTTGATAGAGATCCGACCACAAGTGTTAGGAGAGTTTCTGGTGCCTTGGGAATTTCAGCAAGCCATGTTCACCGTGTGCTTAGAAATGACCATAGACGTCCTTACCATTTGCAACCTGTGCAAGGACTATAGCCAGGGGACAGAGAACGAAGAATGACATTTTGTCAGTGGATTCTTGAGAGAACTGATAATAATAGCGAGTTTTTAAGTAACGTTTTATGGACCGATGAGTCATGCTTCACTAGACGTGGAGTGGTAAATTTTCATAATCAACATATTTGGTCGGATGAAAATCCGCATGCAGTTCGGGAAGGAAATTTTCAGCATGAATTTTTGTGTGAACGTGTGGATTGGTATCTACGTAATCGACTATTTGGACCCTACCTTTTGCCTGCAAGGTTAAATGCGGCGACCTTCTTGGAATTTTTAAAGGCTGAACATGCAAATATGTGGGATGATGTTATGTTAGATTTGATGGTTGTCCAGCTCATTATTCGAGAATAGTTAGAAACTGGCTGGACGAAAATTATCCAGAAAGATGGATCAGCCGTGGAGGTCCAGTCGCCTGGCCTCTACGATCCCTTGACCTAAATTCATTAGATTTATTTGTGTGGGAATTTCTAAAAGAAAAAGTGTACCAGACTCCCGTAATCACAAGAGATAAGCTAATAGACAGAATCAGGAATGCATGTGATGAAATAAGGCCTTATTTGAATAATGCTATACCACGTTCGATCATTCGTAGATGTGAATTGTGTATTGAACAATTGGGTTTACATTTCGAGCAACTACTTTAGATTTTGTATGTTTGTCCTAACTATCCAATAGCATTTTAGTTGTAAATAATTAATTTAATTTTTTAAAAATAATATTGGAAAATTAAACAAATTAATATTCTGTTTTTTTGTGTTTATTTGGAGTCAGGAATTATTGCTGTGTTTAAAAACACAGTCTAAACGATCGTATTAATTACTTGTAATGCCCAAATCGAAAATGTAAAAAAAAATATTATTTTCCCATAAATAATTAAAAATGCATCGAACCTTAAAAATCGAAATATCTCAAAAACGGCTAACTATAACGAAAACTAACAGGAGAGCTTTTTTATGTTGAAAAGTGCGAGGAATCAGTTTTTTTATTCAAAAAGGAGAAAATTGCACTAAGATAAAATTTTCGGTCATTTTAATACACTTACAGGTACAGTAGAGAGTGCTCTCTAGCGGCTACAGTAAAACTATGGTCATGGTCCGTTTTGTCGTACCAAAAAACAATAAACTGAAACACCCTGTATACATTACGTATCTGCACACTTGTATTCCCAGTTTACCTGGACGGTATTTAGATTATTCGAAGCGAATAAAGTTTTTGAGTGGCTTTTGCGAATAAATGATATCATTGTTACATCCAAAGCAACATAAGTGACGTCGTAGCAGCAAAGCGATTTGAAAACGCTATGATGCTTCTTGAGGAATCTCAATCGCTGAGTTGAGCTATTTTCATATTTAAAGGTGCTTAGATGTTTCAAAACGCGAAGCTTACATGACGTAACTTGGATGTGTCAGATATGTATTATTTGTTTCTCTAAAGTCGAAGACGAAGATCGCATATCAAGTGAAACATCGCAACACTTGTTAAAATAAGAACTAGAAACACCTATTTGAATTATTTCATTATATACATTTTCACCATACTGCTGAACAGTACACACTGCCGTGCAATTTCATTATTGCCTTGTGTTTTTTTTGCATTATTCCAAGAATCTCACTGTGGAGTTTATCCAGTAAGCTGTATTTTTATTCTCGCTTAATTTCTACCATTACTTTTCTCTAATTTATATTTTTATCGCGGCCACCTGTGCTTTCACCGCAGTAATGGGGCAATTCTGGAACTACTGAATGTTTACTAGAGGAAAAACCTGCTGGGATGCTTAAACTCAACTAACCCTCTTGGGACACTTTAGGGATAATGTAAAGCTGGGACTATACGGTACTATGAATGAACGCTGTCCAACGTTGAATGCTAGACAATTTTTGAAGCTCCCTAATCGCAATAGCCTAAGCTAGGTTAATACCCAAAATAGTGTGGATGTATTTCATAAAAATATGAACAACATTGGCCTGGCTAACAAATAACAAGAACAATAATTGATAACAATGTCTTCATTAACATGCATCACAAGTGCAAGCTTAGCTAATGCTACTCGTACACCCAACCATAACAGTACAAAAGAAAGTTGGTAAGGTGTGGTCATACTTGTATGGTTAGTGAGTTAGTTACAGGAGAAGGTAAATCTATGAAATATATGAGAATAAGGCGCTAAAATGTATCCGTGTGAAACATGATATAATTTAGGTGAAGTTAGAAAACGTATTATAAATGGCAACACAGTAGGAATGAATGAGACGATACGTAATTAAAATAATATTGGACCCACCTGGAGGGTTACCTTGACCAATAACTAATGGGAAAAAATAATTCTCAGGTGAAAATCGCTGTTAATGTTCCAAATCTTAGCCATTAAATAGGAGATTATCTTTAAATGTATATCATGCAAGTAAAGTAAGTATATATTTTTTGTTGTTTCAGGAATGGCAGAAGCGTTGAAATACGTCTCAGTCAGCATCCCTCAAGCAGTGCGGGTGATGGATACAGTAACGTTGCAGTGCCGTTTTGACATGGAAGGGGAGCCTTTGTACACCCTGAAATGGTACAAGGGTGGCAAGGAATTTTACCGATACATCCCCAAAGAAATGCCCAACACCCAGGTGTTCACTGTTCCTGGCATAACCGTTGATGTGAGTTCTATTCCATGTTCAATATAAAAGGCATATTCAGTATTCCCGGTAATATTACACAGCTCAAAAATCAAAGCGAATAAATGGCAACATTGTTTAAGGATGAAGCTCGACATGTCACTCGGTTCCTATTACGTGATCGGTAGTTACGCTGACCCAGTGTTGCCATTTACGTTGCCTAATACGGCCAATGAGTTGCAATACTATCGCGGTAATATCCACTAAGAATGATTTGAAAGAAATAAATTTTGTATACAGTTAGATATGAGCAGGAGCAGCTAGTGACTAAATTTTCAAGTAAAACCATTTACGATAATAATGCATTGGGATACCTTTAAGCGGTATACATTGGTCTAGTCGGCAGGGTGTGTTTCAAATGTGTCTTTCCCAAGCTAGCTGAACTTGATTCCGAAGAGCTACTAAGGTTGATGGAGGATGCAGTAATGAGTTTGCTCTTCTTCCCATCGTATTCCAAGAATTTTCAATTGCAGAATGGCCCAGAGATGGACCTGGTGTGACCGTTATTGAGGTAGTGTGATGTAACTCTAACATATGAGAAATAGGGCTATCAAGCATTTAGAGAAGAATTGAAAGATGAGGCTCTATTATTTCCTTGATATATCGTTGCGCCATCATGCTTTCTCTGTGATGAAAATTAGAGGTGACTTAGCACCATATGTGATGGCGCCTCAAACAATGACTCCCACAATATGGTGCAAGTTAAGTTTAACTGTGCTGTACATATGTCTTTCTCTCAGACAGCTTCTGACGTGTGCCCTTCCCTGGTGCATCCCTAAAACAGAGTGACCAAAAAAATTGCGATGACGATTAGTATAACATTGTTTTTAGTGATGGATTCTGCTGCGGTAGAGATGGATGATGGATAAGCACGAGTCATACCTAAGGAGTCGCGCGGAGGAACAGGTAAATGCTAAAAATATGCCAGCTGTGGTTAACACTGCTACGTTAGAACTGAGGAGTACTGCAATGGTTCACAGACAATGGAATAGTGCTTAATGCCGAAAAGTCTAGATGTCTCAGGTTTACACACTCTAATAAGACTTTTGATCATAGTCTCCGCGTCAGGTCATCACATTTAAAATCGTGACGCTGCCCTGCGTTTATACATAATATACAGGGTGGCGCATCGGAAATGAAACAGACGCATTAACTGGCAGCTTAGTTTTTTTTTAAAAACGCTCAGACCCGTCGATTTTGTTTTCGAGGGGCACACAGGTTTGACAACGAATCACGTTAGCACGTGCAGCCCCCTAAGCGGGGGTGACACCACCCCCAAAATCTTAAATGGAAAGGGGGGTCGAGTGATACCTTATTTTAAAGGGATTTCAATTCCCTTTATAATGATATAAAATTAATGTACTTCAGTTCAGTAGTTTTGAAGATTTATTGATATAAAGCTTAAATAAAACTAATACATCATCATTAGTGGAGTTCAATACATTTGGCAGCAAAGTAATTTAAAAATGAAGAATGAACTGACCCGTTAGGCAAGTAAATGTTGCAAATGGCCACCATGACTCTCCATGCAATAATAAAGATTTTGCTCAAAACGTTGCCGCACATTTTGCAATATTTGAGGAGTAATTTGAAGGCACTCATTCACAATTCTTTGTCGCATGTCTTCAAATGATATTGGCTGAGTAGCATAGATTTTACTTTTTAAATGACCTCACATAAAGAAATCCAAAGGTGATAAATCTTGCGATCTTGGGGGTCATTCAATGGCATCTCTTCTACCAATCCATCGATCTGGAAACGTCTGATCTAAATATTTTCGAACACGTAATGCGTAATGTGGTGGGGCACCATCCTGTTGGAACATCAACCTATTCGCAATGTACCGCCGATCATTCTGATTTTCAATTATGGCTGTTAATGCAGGATCTACGGTGTCTTCCAGTAACTCCAAATAGATTTTACCGGTCAAATTTCCAGGTAAGAAAAAATGACAAAAGGACCAACTAAATGATCGCCAGAAATACCAGCAAAACATTTAATTTTTGTGGCTGCTGTGTATTAACCTCATGATAAATTGTGGGATTAGAATCGGACCAATATCGGCAGTTATGACGATTGACTACGCCATTTAAGAAAAAGGAACATTCGTTGGAAAAGCAAGTGTTGAATAGAAAATGTTCATCGTTTATAATTCGTTCACTCATATCATCACAAAATTGTAATCGCCGATCAAAATCGTCTTCATTAAGTTCTTGTACCAGGTGAATTTTATACGGATGAAAACTATGGCCCTTTAGAATCCGTTGGACAGTACGTCGACTGACACCACACGCAGTCTCCAACTAGCTGGTACTTAACGCATAAACTCCCTAAAACCCCCACTTCTATTGCTTCGTTCCTTATGGGATTTTCAATGTTGCGTTTTTTATTGGCGACTGACCCAAGTACGAGATATTTCCTTATATTTCTTCAAGAAATAACTTTTTTGCCACAAAAAAACGCTCCAATAGCTATTTTCAACAACAAAATGATAAACAAACCTTGCGCGTAGTGAAGAAAAGCATTTACTTATTAAGCAAATTCTTTTAGTCAAATTTCTTCTGAAAGCAGTACAAACTAATCTGATGTAACTATTAAAGTCTACTTTAAGCTTTAAATCAATAAATCTTTAAAACTACTGAACTGAAGCTCATGTATTTTACATCATTGTAAAGGGAATTGAAAGACCTTTAAAATAAGGTATCACTCGACCCCCCTTTCTATTTAAGATTTTAGGGTTGGTGTCACCCCGCCCAGGGGGCTGCACGTATTAACGTGATATTTTGCCAAACTTGTGTCCCCCTCGAAAACAAAATCGACGGGTCTGAGCGTTTTTCCAAAAAAAAACTGAGCTGCGTAAATGTTTTGTTTTCGATGCGCTACCCTGTATATGAGTACTAGTGTATATTAGATCTAGGAATGACGACTTTGAGGTGATAAACAACCATAACATTTATAATATCAGAAATTCAGTTTTAATGATACCAACTCACAGGTGGTTCTCTACAGAGAAAAGCCCCAACCACATGGAAATGCCACAGAGTCTAAGAAGTTTATCATTAGATTTATTCAAGAAAAAATAAACAAAAGTCTACTACTCCGAAAAGCATACTATTCTCTTAATTAATGTCTTAACAATGACAGTATATGCTCTTAAATGCACATGGGAATTATCCATCAGTTTCATTTTTTTTTATTTCACTTTATCTAGTTTTTATCAATTTTAATTTTGTTATCCAGTCAGCCATTTATATTCCATTCTTCTTCTCACATTTTAACCGCTAACTTTTTTATTAATTGTATTTTGTTATTTTTCACAATTATATGTTTTTTACAATATTTTGTTTTTATAAACGTGGTCTGTGTGTATATATGGTGTGATAGTTTTTATTATATTCTGAGAACATTTATGTTTCAGTGATGTAGTTTTTATTTTTTGTCCATTGATATGTTTTGCACGAATAAGTTTGTTGACGTATTCAATATAATTTTTCAATGATCGATTGAATAAACAATATCTATCTTTCTAATGTAAAGCGTTCAGCTGAATGTCACGCGTACCATATGCACGTTGTGATTTAGGCCACAATCAACTACTACCAATCATAATCGATTAGAGGACAACGTTATATTCAGAAGGTACTGGAAACTAATTTTTTCACATTGATCTAAACGCTCAGTAACCCTATTTTCCGACAAGGTAAGGCACGTCCCCATGTTGCTAGATCTATGATAGAGTACCTCAATAACGCTCCAGCCATCTTCATTCCTTAGTTTCCATTCAACCCAAGTGCGATATAAAGTAACCTCTACACCTTATCATCCACAAGCGCTAACAGCCTTTTGGAACCAAGTACAGCTAGTTTGGAATGAGATACCTCAAGAAGACATAAATCACCTCATCAAGAGCATATCCCCACGATTTATATGGCATTTGGCTGACCCAGCACATTATTAGACACGTCCAGCTTCACAGTGAATGCTTTCACTTCAAAATTTAGTCACTACTTCCCCTTGCGAATGCATAACTCCTACCTGCTCTATTATCTTTGTCACTGAATATACTTATTGTACTTGTTATTTTGTGGTAAACGTGAGCAGATATGTTCGAACTGCTTTATAATGATATTCATGCTTCAGCGGCTCATAACAACCAACTCTCAGGATTCTCAATAGAACAAAACCCCGCTGCAGGATAGTATCCGCATCTGAAACTACTTCCACAATAATTCTCCGGCTACATGCTGCTGTATTCTCAAAGTAGTTTGAGAAACTACGATTTACAATCATTATTTATTCTGTGCGGTACTCAACCGCTCCGCTAAATCCACGTCAACTGCAATTCCGGCCACTGTAAACACTTGCGTATTGGGAGCCTCCTCCGGGACTGAAAGGTGGAGCTCCTTACTCCTTTACTGTCTCGCCGTGGCTCGCCCTACATTGTCAGAATACTGTCCGAACTATGAAATTCCTTTAAAACCTGTTTGAAATATTTAGGTACGAGCTCCTTAAGACAAAGGAAATGGTAAGTAAGGTCGATCCAGAAAACAGTGGCAATACTGCCATGTTAAGCACACAGAGGGTATCTGCAGCTAAAATGAAACAGAGAAAAGGGCGACTAAGCGTTTAACCACCAATTTATTTGTGCAGATACGTGAAACATAAATGTAGGATTTCGAGAAAACTATTATATGTTATGGCCAAAAGCTTTACCAATGAGTAGAGCAAATAATGCTGATTTACGAAGTAACATAGGGCTGCCAGACATTACTTATTTTCTGAAAGATAAATCGAGGGGCATTGAATAGCGCATATACAAATATACTAAGTGACATATAAATCCGAACACCCAGGTTAAATGGTTTTATTTTAATAGAAGTTGGTGAATGTATTTATCTTACTGTAAAGTGAAAAAATTTTCAGCCTTATCAGTTGAACATTCCGGTTTTTATACTGCTTTTTTTCAATTCACTAACGCTCTA